AAAAATAAAAATTCAACTAGTATTGAAGCTGATGATAGTGATGATGAACTTGTCAGTGAAAACAGAATAACCTACCCATTTCTTAGAGACCATCCTCTCTATAAAACACATCAAGCTCAATTTAATGAGAAAAAAAGTAATTTTGTCCCAAACTTTGTTGGAGGCTCACTGCCAAGATGTGACAGAGGAGACAGAGAGTATTATTGTGCTACCATGCTTGCTTTATTCAAGCCTTGGAGAACTGGTCATGATCTGAAATCTGAGGAAGACACTTGGGATGAAGCCTTCAATGACTATGAATTTACAGTGCAACAGAGGCAATATATGCAGAATTTCAATATTAGATATGAGTGTAATGATGCTAGAGATGATTTTTCTGCTCAACAAAAAAAGGGAGATTCAGAAGGAATATTTCCCCAGTGGATGTCAAATGAGACAATGTTGGATCTTGATGAATTAAATGCATATGATGGTGCTCACTTTGGGGATGCAGAGTATGATGAAAATGATGAAGAGAATATTCCAAATAAATATACAGCACTTGGAAAACATGGAAGGGCAAACCAAGAGCAAATGAATGCTACAAAAATTGCAATAAAAGAAGCTGGCTGGCTGGATGAATCACCAAATGGAATAAGTGAAGTTGACAAGGAACCAATCCAACCTGATATATTACAGTCTAGTTCCAAATGGAAAGCTTCAGTTGATCAAAAAAGACAGGAGGAGTTGGCTCAAAGAAATAAAAATATCCCAGCTCAGAAAAATATAAAAAACCAACAGATAGACCCAAATGAAAATGATGTAAAAATTGTTGACCAATCATATCTTACAAAAGACTTCAAAGCCAAAGAGAGATCAGCACAAAGGATGATTGATAAAGTTGTAAAAAAATATTCCCTTAACAGAGAGCAAGAAAGAGCCTTTAGAATTGTTGCAAATCATGCAGTTCAACCTCAGACTGAACAATTAAAAATGTATCTGGGTGGCATGGGTGGTACTGGAAAATCACAAGTCTTCAAGGCCCTCATTTATTTTTTTCAACAGAGAAATGAGTCTCATAGATTTATTGTGCTTGGACCAACAGGATCATCAGCTGCTCTTCTGAATGGATCAACTTATCATTCATTTTTGGGTGTGCCAATGAGTGGAATGGGTATCAGAAA